GTTCTAATTAAAAGTCCTTGTATAAAATAATTAAAAGTCCATGGTTCTAATTAAAAGTCCTTTACATAGATTAAAACCCACACGAAGTGTGACTCTGTTTTCTTCTTATAATACATATACTAAGAATTACATAAACATAAACATAAAAAAATTACATATACTAAGAATTACATAAACATAAACATAAAAAAATTACATAAACATAAACATACTAAGAATTAGATATACTAAGAATTACATAATGGTATGATTTTTGATACATTAATCCAAATCAAAAGATGAACAATATATACATGCAAAAACATAAAGTCTACTTTTTTTTATTTTGAAGAAAAAAACATAAAGTCTACTTGTATGATGGTGCCATTCTCTTTAATGATGATATGCTTTAATGTATTAACCAAAGCAAAATATGTACATATGTGAACATAGCGTCTACTACTTACATCAAAGCCATGATAAAATAAAGAGTGTAACTAATTAAGATGAGAATTATGCACAATCACAATTTTAAGGTTGCAAGCAATTTGAACAAACACTAAAAGCCAAACATAAATACTCATCTGGCTTTCTAATATTAAACATAAACATAAACATACTAAGAATTACATATACTAAGAATTACATAAACATAAACATAAACATACTAAGAATTACATATACTAAGAATTACATAAACATAAACATAAAAAAATTACATAAACATAAATAATAAAACACACCAAATAAAATAACATAAACATACCAAATTCAAAAAAACACACTAAATGAACTTAATTATCTTCAGCTTGTTTCAATGCCCACTGGTGCTCTATCAAGTCAATTTGTCGGGCATTGTGCATGTCTGGCATTTGAAATGCAGTATATCGTTGAATGAGTCTTTCATTGTAACGTCCATCCCTTTGTAATGGCTCATGTTGCACGGGCTCATCGGTGGCGTCATGAGCACAATATATACGTGTTCTTGAATTATTCATCGGGTCTGGCTCATATTCATCAACAGCTTCATAATCGTACTCATCTTCCACAATCATGTTGTGAAGAATGATGCACGTCATCATGATGGATCGAAGCGACTCTACATCAAACAATCTGGCAGCACCCCTGACGATCCCCCAGCGAGCTTGGAGAATACCGAAACAACGCTCCACATCCTTCCTGCACCCATCTTGACAGCTTGCAAAGTGTTTTTCCTTTGCACTCCACGGACGTGGCACTGTTTTGACAAATGTTGACCAGCGCGGGTAGATGCTGTCAGCTAGGTAATATGGCCCGTCGTACATACGTCCGTTGACCTCATACGTAACTTTTGGTGCCTTTCCTTGCAGGACATCGTTGAACACTGGGGATTGGGCAAGGACGTTGATGTCATTTTGAGCTCCCGGGACCCCGAAAAAGGCGTGCCAAATCCATGTATCAAACGATGCCACCGCTTCCAGAATGATACTTTTTGCTCATTTTCTGTCCCCGTAAGCGCCTTGCCATGCACTTGGACAGTTTTTCCACGTCCAGTGCATACAATCAATGCTTCCAATCATCCTAGGAAAGCCACGCATCTCCGCCTTCTTCAACAGCCGCTCCAAGTCCATGTGTGTAGGTTTGCGGAGGTACTCAGCGGTGTAGATAGATTCGATTGCTCCGCAAAACCTCATCAGGGACTCAAGAATGGTTGATTGCCCCATCCTCGTTATCTCATCCACTTGGTCTGCAGATACTCCATATGCAAGCATCCGCAAGGCAGTAGTAATTTTTTGCTCAGGCAGTAGACCCATAACACCAAAAGCATCTTTTTTTTGCACAAAATAAGAATCATGGTTGCAAACAGCAATCATGATTTTGTTGAACAAATGTCGTTCCATTCTAAAACGACGTCTAAAGTACGTATCAGGGAATGCACTATTAGGAACAAAATAATCATCCAAGAGTTCCATACCTCTTCGTTGCCTGCTTCTATCAAGGTTTCCGGAACGGCTGGGCCTGCAGATCTGAGCCGCAGCTTGGATGACTCGACGGAAATGTGAGGCTCTGCCCTTTCTTACTTCGTCATCTCTCATTTGACGCTCCTCATCCTCTTCCCTCTCATTTCTTACCCCCTAGTGATTGAACATTGCTTCTGATTCGTTAAACAATTCTTCCTCTTCCTGATTGAATTCCCACATCATCCTTGAGGAAGAAGAAGAAGACATTGAAATAAAGAAACAGAAACTATGAATAATGATATAGATTTTTGTGAATAAGGAAGCAAAAACTATGATTAATGATAGAGATCTTGAGAATTTTGGTGTGAGATTTGTGAGGATGGATGGTGGATTATATAGAGGATTCAGAAAGGATTAGGTTGTGCATAATGTCACGTGGCATGCCGTCATTCGTTACAAATCTGATGGAAATCTATCCTCAAAGATTGTGAACAGATTATGACACGTGGCATGCCGTCATTCGTTAAAAATCTGATGGAAATCTATCCTCAAAGATTGTGAACAGATTATGACACGTGGCGCGACGTGATTGGTTAATAATCTTATCAGAAATCCATCACCAATAATTGTATTATTTTGTATTATTTAATAATACTTCGCATAATGACACGTGGCGTAACGAGAACGATTAAAAATCTTATCCGATATTACAATTAAAATTATTTTGTATTATTTTATAAATAAATAAAATACTAATATTTTATTGCCTATTGCCAGGGCTATTGAAGTGTAATGGTGGAGATGCAAATTCTATTGCCATGGCTACTTACTGTTCATTAAGGGCAATTACTGTTCATTAGGTGGATTGAATAGTGTACTGCCAGGGGGAGGGCTCCAACGCTGGAGTTGCTCTAATAGATTTATCTATGAATTTTGACCAAGTTTAATTGATTTATATAGATTCTTTCTATATAAAATACTATATGAAATCTCTTTGATTCCATCGTATTCCCCAACTTTTTAAATCCTTTAAAATCAACTTCTAATTAACTACACCTAAATTTTTTTTTTTAATTTATTATTATTATTAAAGAGATGAGGAGGGTTCGCAACTATTACAATAATTAAGGAAAGAGGTAATTTTGAACCCTGAACACATGGTAGAAATCTAACACTATATGCACTAAGATATTAAATCACATGTTATACACCTCGAATGTTATAATTTCCCTTAAAGTTTCAATTGAATACACCTAAGCTTTCAGAGAATTGCTTAGAATCTTAATCAAATATCCTAAATTTATAAAAAGAATTAAAGTTTCTTAAAACTTTCAATTAAATACACCCTTTAATTTTATTGACAATGTATTTTAATAAAAAAAAATTAAAATGACAGAAATAGAAATGATGCAATTTTATATACCCCTCGCCGATGTCTCTCATTTTCTCCATCGCTTGATTCGATTCAGTCTCTGCTTTTCAGGTACTTGTCCTTCTCGTCCTCCTCACTGTTTTCTTGGATATGAATTCTTTATCGTTATGTTTGTTTGAGCGATCGAATAATCAAATATAGTTTCTTTCAGATTTGCATTCGTTCATATGAATTAGTAGCCTCTGTCTACGGAATTGGGTCACCGGTGGATTTATCTTTATGATAATTAATGAAAATTTGAATTCTATATTGTGTACAGACAATATTCTAAACTACTCTAATTTATGGGACGGTGATTCGAACTGTGGTGCAAGGGATGGAACTGTTGGAAGGTGTTTTTTTTTTTGGAAGCAAAGGTTTTGGATCCAATAAAGAGTTCTGCTTTGGTGGTTAATGTAGTTGCTTTCAGTTCCCAAGTGTTGTACTTATTGATATGTTTTCTGATTGACTCATTGGGGTTTTGTTCACACTGTGGAGAAGATGTGATTTTGTGTAAAAATTGGAACCAAAAGGAAATTATGGCGCTGAGGAAGAAACTGTGGGAGAGTTCCGATTTCAATGGAAAATTTGTGTACAGCTTTTCAAGGTATTACAGTTCAAACAAGGTAGACCTAAGGAAGCCAAAAGCCTAGGATTCAGAATAAAATCCAAAACCAGACTAAGGATTACCCAATGCCGGCCATGATACTGGTGGCCCAGGAGGTCATGGAGTGCCAGAGACTCGTTATGCAAGGTGTCTCTACTCTCCTCGAAATGGTGCCCGTTCTGGCCTGCAAGTAAATCCCTTATCTCCCAAGTTACTTTTAGGAGGATTCATATGAACCTTTTCTTATTAGGAATAATCAGACCACTTTTTGCTATTTTTGAGAGCCGCACAATCTATAGTTTTCAAATTAGATTTACTCTAATTTAGCTTCCATTCGATCCCTACTGCTTTTATTGAACAATTTTTGAGGTGGAAAAGAAAGGCCAACTTTTTTATCTATATCTTACTTTTGCAGGTTCTGTCCAGAAGTATATATAGGCGAGAAATGCCACTTAATTCAGACTTGTTGTGGCTTTAAACGTCGTGGCAAGAATAAAGTTTGAATGTGTAGTTGGTGGTTTGAAAGATGTGCTTGTTCCAGTAGAGGCATTTCACCTCAAGCACATGTTCCAGGATGTTATAAAACACCATCAGAGGTTTGACTTTGAACGTGTTCCTGCAGTTGTCGAGCTATGCTGGCAAGCAGGGGAGAATGATATTATGATGGAAATCATTTAAATTGGAACTTTGAAAGTGATTGTGTTGGCGTTAACGGAGCTGAGTCTTTGTTACCCGATGAACTGATTCTGGTTGCCAGTGGAACTTTGAGGGCATGGGAAATTCTTAGAAATGGCATGGAGAAGTTGCTGAAGGTTTATCCAGCGAAAGTCTGTAGACATTATTTAGAAGTTCATTTTGGGCTATCTGGACATAAGGCTAGGCTTCGTGGAGTTTTCAAGTATGAGAGTGAGCAAGGAAGAAGGGAAGGGATTTTATAGGCATGCTCCTGCAATAGTAGAACTATGTGCACAAGCAGGTGTCATTGCATCCCAACCACCACCCACCACCCAACACCCCCACCCCCCACCCCACACCCCCCCCCCCCCCCCCCCCCCCCCAAAAAAAAGTATTACTGCAGGGTGTAAGTACCACACTTGGAGATCAAAGATTGTTCCACTAGAATAGTCAAATGTAAATGTCGATTGATTCCAAGGTAGAAACTTGAACCTAGTAGAAACTCCCCAGGATTGTCAGATCACAGATGTTCGTAGAATTGCTTATAGTTGTAACATTTGATCTGAAATGGGAAAATGAACCTCATAGAAGCTCCCGTAAGACTGTCTGATCTTCATTATTGAGCGTGATTGTAATTTCAGATGAATGACATCGAAGTTCGAGATGGCTGGCAATATCAACTGAGCACGTATTGCCCCCTTCACTTCATGAAAAAGGTGAGCAAATTTGTAGCTTTGCTTTAGCTATGGACATAGAACAAGAATGCATGGTAGAAAGAGTGAAAGCAAGAAAGGAATAACAAATCATTGAAATCTCTAACGGAATTGAATGCTTATTAATTATGCTTCTCAATAGATTATCAGAACTGACTAGTTTACGATTGATTTTCAGCTATGGAATAATTACTATTCTTGTGCATATCGGTATCCACTGCGATAGACCGTCACTTTGAACAAATATCTGGAAACTCCATGATCCGCACCATGCCATTTTTTAGGCTGCAGTTGTCTATCCATCTCTCTTACTTTATTTGATCGACAATGCACGATTGCTACCATATAAATGATTTCAGGTTCGTAGAACCTCACTCCCCTGTATCACCGTACAATGACTGGTAAAGAATGGTTTTTAAGTTCAAAATTTCGGTACTAGTCATGTCCAAACCCAATTATTCCATCGTTCCATCGTTCTACATGTATGTTGAATCATTTAAAAAGAACAAATTTTGATCACGAGCATGATTCAGGAAGGATATGATGCCCCTAGTCCCCCACCACACACGTGCACACACACCACTTACATGCAGTGTTCTAAAAATTTCCGCCTAGACCCTGCCTAGGCACTAGGCGGCTAGTCACTGCCCGACTAATCCATAAGCATTTGAAAATTAAAAAAGGGCACCTAGACCTGCCTAGCCTAGGTCACAACTTTCACTTAGATAAAAAATAGATAACTTTCATTCTGTATTTTATTTTTTCAATAAGTATAAAAGACTTGTTAAATACAAGAATGAACACGCATTATATACTTGCTCCCCATGTATTTAATATGTTATATATCTTTATAATCTATCTGTCATTTTATTTTACAATTTCTGTATTCCAATATTATTATTTATTGTTTTAGTTATAATTAGACATTTGTTTATATGTTATATGATAAATTTAATTAAAAATTTAAAAAACTGCCTACGCCCCCGCCCAGGCATAAGACCCTTGATCTACTCTCAACTAGCGCCTAATGTTTTTTAGAACCTTGCTTACATGGTAGTAAAACTCCGTTTTCAAGTCCTTGGTCCATTTTCCGTTGCAATGGAAGAGAATGGGACATTTGACCTCGGTTATTAGGATATGCTGGTCCTAATCCCTACTCATTTCTCATGTCCAAACTATTTCAAAAAAATATGCAGATTTGGTTTATGTGTCCACCTTCATGCGTTCATGCTCTAATTTCTCTTCCTGTATGTAGATTTGAATATTGCCTTGCTTATTAAAGGGGAAAAAAAATTCAACAAATATCAACAGTTGAAATATAACTTGAAGTGTATAATATGAGTCTGTCACCAACTTAGAAATCTAGGAAAACCTAGGAAGACCCCCATTTCATAGCGCCTGGGGAACGCAAGTTTGATCGAGGATTGGATAGGAGAGGTGGAAGAAAAGGCTCGGGATGGATTTAGGAGTCTTTATGCGAGCCGTATGCAGTAAGAGTCGCACGTACGATAACGAGGGGGGTTCGCGTCTATACGTGTAGTGTGGTGGTTGGGCCTACCCACCCTATTTGTTCCATGATCTATGGGTCTACTGGAGCTACCCACTTCGATCAATTAGCCAAAATTTTGACCGGATATGAAATCACTGGTGCTCGATCTAGTGGTATTTTTATGGGGATTCTATCTATCGCTGTAGGATTCCTATTCAAGATCACTGCAGTTCCTTTTCGGGCGGCTGTAGGACGGACGGCCGCCTATAGGTGGTAGGGTAGGGTGGGTGGTACCGCTCAGATTGCGGCCAATCTTCCTAACCGCGCGCGGGCCGGGCTTAGAGCGCGTGAAACTCATCACTACCTCGTAAGGGCGTTGAGACCATAGCATGTTACACGAAAGCGCCGCTTTCTCTGGAGTGTTGTCACACAGCTGCCCACCTAGAAGAGCCACTCGCTCTGTAGTGTTGTCACACAAGATAAGCACGCCGCCCGCCTGCTGGCCGGGCGAATCGAAGTTATCTTCCGGTCAACTGTCCACCCAGTCAAGTGCAAAAAACACAGTAGAATCACGCAACGCACGCTGCTGGTGTGCTTCCTGCCCGCGAGGAAAGAAAGAAGAGCAACAAGGTTTAGTTCAGATTTGACTGTTTGCAGCATGGGAGCGGATTACCCAAAAAATCCCTGGAACAATGAAAAAAAGATATCTCGGTAACGAAAACTATAGGGGGCTGTATTGGCGAGATCCAACGGTGAACAGCTGCCCAAAAGAAAAACCGCCTGGAAGTCCGAGGACCTTTAGTACCGTACCCTACCCCCGAACCAGCAGCCTTCGCGCCAAGCAAGACCGCCCTTGTCCCTTTCCTTTCTCCATTCCGCCCCCTTCTTTCTTCCAATAGAGTCTAAGGCAAAGCAAAAGGGGTTCGTATGCCTACTTTACCTACTTGAGGGAACGAACTTTGTTTCGTTTCCGGACTTATGGATTGGATTCAGTCAGCGTCACGACATAGTCAAGAAGGAGTGGCGCTTTGGTTACCGGCGAACGCTTCCAAAGGCGACCCTCTCGAGTTTCCGGCTGTTTCCTAGATTGAAGTAGCCTTTCGTCGCCCTACCAACGAAAGAAGTCACTATCAAACAGCCCCCCCAACTAGTCGTATGGGGTGGGGTGCTTGTGGTAAGCTGCCTTGGATATGAGGAATTCCTAAAAAAAGGTATTTGACGAAGATCTTTCTATCAATAGATAGGATTTAGTGTTCGATATAGGGGATAGGATCCATCTGCTCTCTCTCAAAAAAATGGGGAGGGGGCAGATATAACGATATACAAAAAATCGGGAGATGATAAAGGATGCATAGACATCTAAGGGGATGCCTATTCTATTCCTCTTTTTTTTTTTTTTATAAGGCGGAATGCCCGCCAAGTTCAGATAAGGGAATGCTTTCCCCAACCATTAAGGGAAAGGCTCGACGAAGGGAGGGGGAAGGAAAACGCTTTCGGAGATAGAGATTTTATTTGTTTTTCATCGAAAACGAAGAAGGCCGAGGATGGCCTACGGTGCGTATTATCTGAGGGGAACACGCTTTTTCGACCGCGGTAGTATGATTGCCGGGCCCTCTCCTCGTTCCGCCCGCTGGCCTATTGGGATAGCAGCCTTCGGGCTTTGCCTGCCTTTTTTTTTAATTCCGGCTCGGCCCGGGAAAGCGCTGGCAACAACAGAAAGGAAGGGGTCCATGTAGCTGCTGCGCCCGCCCCCTTCTGGGCAGCAGGTTCGGCATCTACTAGAAAAGAGAGAATCCGCTTCAGATAACCACTCCTCTGCTAGGCAGCGTGTGGAATGGCCGAGAGCGGACCTTTTTGGATATATAATCCAAGTCGAGAGTGGAGTTACGGGAACAGCCGTCTGATGGAAAACTACTTTCACGTTCGGTTCAGAGAGCACTTTTTTCGTTGAGAATTCCTCGTTCCCTTTCGTGTAAATTCCCCTGCAACGAATTAAAAACTTGCGGGGCCCTATCTATTTCCCTCTCTCGAGCCCCGAAGAAAACCCCCTCCCCTTCGGACTCCACATCTCTTTTGACTCTATATATGTGGGCACCTGATATCTATGAGGGTTCACCCACCCCGGTTACAGCATTCCTTTCTATTGCGCCTAAAATATCTATTTCTGCAAATATTTCACGTGTTTCTATTTATGGTTCCTATGGAGCTACATTGCAACAAATCTTCTTTTTCTGCAGCATTGCTTCTATGATCTTAGGAGCACTGGCCGCCATGGCCCAAACGAAAGTAAAAAGACCTCTAGCTCATAGTTCAATTGGACATGTAGGTTATATTCGTACAGGTTTATCATGTGGAACCATAGAAGGAATTCAATCACTACTAATTGGTATCTTTATTTATGCATTAATGACGATAGATGCATTCGCCATAGTTTTAGCATTACGGCAAACCCGTGTCAAATATATAGCGGATTTGGGCGCTCTAGCCAAAACGAATCCTATTTCGGCTATTACCTTCTCCATTACTAGTAGGTAGAGGTGGCCAATTAATTTATTGGGTTGTTAATGGGTACCGTTAAGACCTATTTAATTTGATATCACCATAATATAGAGGTGAGATTGATAATGGTCTCCGTCAGAGCCAAGTATAAGGCTTGAGTGAGCTATAGCATAGGGAGAGTTTTAGTTCTTTAAACTTAAAAATATTAGTTATTTGGGTTATTTTATGATTTTTTATTGTCCTAAACCACGTAACAAATGAGAGTCTGAATCTTAGAGTTGCTATAGGGAAAGTAAGAGTTAATAAATATTAAAAAAACTCATCACTTTAGTAAATACTAAAATTTACTAGTAATAAATTGAAACTTTCATGCTACATATGGTTCCTTATTTTAATCCTTTGAAAGTTTTGAGGGCTATAAGCTTAAAAAACAAATTATAAATTTCTTACTTCAAATTATTACTTTCAGGTTTACTATTGTATAACTTTGTGTAGGCAACAAAAAGATTGAGCATTTGATTTTGTAGTAATAATTTTAGCTTAGCCCACCCATCAGATAAGTTATGGCTTCGCCATTGATAATGATGATGATTGTGTAAAGTGAAATCAAACTAAGAGCTAGTTTGGTATTGTTGTGCCTTATAATTAAACAAAAAAATTGATTCTGCTGTTATGTGAGAATAATAGCTGCAAAATAAAGTTGTTAAGTGTTTGATAAACATTTTTTGTAAAAGTGCTTAAAACAAAAAACAAAAAAAAAAAAAAATTAGTGCTTGAGTGTTTAGTAAACATTTATACAAATTGTTATGAGTATGTTAAATGGCTAAAAATGATACTGTATTTGATGTAATATAATACTGAGATATTAACAGAGATTACTCATTTTCTTAATTTTGGGACCAAAATATGATTTGCGGGATATGTACAGAACATGCACGACAATATAATAAAAATAAGATTTTTATAACATTGGAAATGACCTAATTACCTTTGTATATAAATGAGTTATTTCCTCCCACTCAATCTCCATTTGCACCTTTCTCCGAAAACCTCTCTCGTCCAATCCCCTGCTTGAAGAACCCTAACCCTCAAACGTTGTTTCAATCTCCGATTTTGCAACCGGTTCACCTGCAAAAATAGAGTGTGCAAGTGTTTCAAAAGGCTGAGAGTGGTAGGGGTGGGGCCCACGAGGTTGTAGCTGCCCATCTCGAGGATTTGCAGCGAGCTCACCGACCCCAGCTCCGGCGGAATTCCGCCGTCGTAAAGAAGTTCATCCTACGAGGGCCGCGACATCAGCAACAACTCCTCCGGGGAACAAGATGTGCAAGACCTTTACTTTCTCTAGGAAAGGCAGATTCAATGGCGGCCAAGTGTACCGAGCCGAATGATCTGTCCTTGGTGGAGACAATTAGGCCATCCTGGTGGCTTGTGGTGCGGTCCTGCAACCAGCCACCATGGCAGCAACCGAGTCCGATTCCGGCCTTCATCCAAAGCCAGTTACCCGTCAACCTTTCTATCCTCTCTCTTATCGTCAACCTTGGAGGGCTTGTCAGCAAAATCAAGTCCATTGGTCCCATTTTTTTATTAATTTATTAGATTCAAATTTATATAAAGAATCAAAGATTCATTCATTTGAATTTCGTACCAAATTTGATTGGGTTAAAATACTTCAAGGATTTGGAAATTGCAATTTAAATGAACATGAAAGAATCCAACTAAATTAAAGGAAATTGTTTCACGAACTCATTCACTTTCTTTGTATTAAGCTCGCCCACGTTGAGGTAGTACACTGTATGTACAAGACATGCACATGATAGGCTTACAGATCTGAGCTCAACCTAAAAACCCAGAGTTGTACAGCTCTTTCTCGAAATTAGAAAAATGACGCAATGAACTATGAGTTGTTTCAATTTAGATGTGGGTATTTTCGTCATTTTGCTTTTGTGCATGGATAGTTTGTCTATTTTGATCCCAAGAACAAGAAAATGAGTCACTTATGTCAATTTCCCTATCATAATTGTCAAAGAGAATAATGTATGGGTAATAATTGTAATTTCGCAAAATATGTGGAGGTATACTTGTTATTTGAAAATTTCGTTAAATGGACAATGATTATTATGCTTTGAAAAAAAAAAAACACAAAAGCATGGTAGACCATGATTCTGCTTTTCTATGATTTTCTACTGCCACTTTTTTTTTAAATATTTTATTTTTGTTTTACCAAACACATTTGATGTTCCAGATTTCTTAATAAGCTGTTTTTTTTTTTTTAATTTTTTTTTTAAGCACCACAATCTCAAATCAGCCCTAAATGGGTCTTAATTGTACCCATGTACAATTTAATGTGTGGATTTAACAACTCTACTTGTAGGATTGCACCTCTTAGACGTCACTATTCTAAAAATTCCCGCCTAGGCGCTAGGCAGTTGATCACCGTCCCGATTAATCTCTAGATATTTGAAAATTAAGAAAGAGCGCCTAGACCTCTTAGGCACCCGCCCAAACCGCCTAGTCCCATCTAGGCACCTGCCTAACTCGCGACTCGAATGGCCATAAAATAGATAACTTTTCTTTTGCATTTTATTTTTTCGTTAAATTGTAGATGACTTGCTGAATACTTAGATTAACACACATTATATGCTTGTTCCCCATGTTTTCATTATGTTTTAATACTTTATAATCTATGTCATTCCATTTTGCAATTGATGTATCTCCAATGCAATTATGTATGTTTTAAGTATAAACAGACATTTATTTATACGATATATAGGAAATTTACTTAAATCCGTCTAGACCCCCGCCTAACCGTCTAGGTGTTAGGCCCATATCCGCCGCCCGACTAACACTTAACGTCTAATAATTAGAACCTTAAGTCAAATACATAAAAACATTCTCCCGTTTCCAGTTCATTCTAAGAATTTGTACCTTGGCTGGAGGTAGCGGAACTTTGTTTAATTATTTCAGTTTTCCTCAATTAAAATTATGTTTATGTATATGTGTTTTTTGGGCCATGATCACCACTCGTCAGCCTCTGTGAGACCGTGTCCAAACTCCCCTACAACTAGAGACATTAATAAGCTTGAAAACATTGGTAGAATAAGCACGACCACGACACTGTGACCATGAGAATATGTAATATTGCTAGGTCAGATTCATGACTATATCTTTGCATGTAGCATTATCTTATATGGCAATATATCCTACCAGTTTCGACTTTTACTCGCTCATCAAAGTAATTTTCGCACTTTTTTTTTTTTTTCAATTTTTTTCTTATTTAGTCGACCAATTTCATGATTAGAAATAAAGAAGAATTGTAAATGGAAAAAAAATATCAAAATAAGTGACGGCATACAAAACGGAAAACTGAGAGTGTGAAAGCAACTACCCGTAATCTTCTCAATAAAGTACTTGTACTTTAATTATTAACAAAATTGTTACTCCATAGAAGCATAGATTGTGACTGTTGGAGAGTTGGCTTTGACCAAAGTTGGAGTTAAACTTGTCTGCGGTCAGACCAATTGGCAGATAATCATATCCTTGTCAAATTAAACTCGTTTTCAGCTCGATCGAGGGAAGAAGATTCGGTCCGGATCTCTCCCAACAAAAGTTTAGGATCAAGTGATCCGGATCGTTGAAATTTGATTCAACGGTTACAATTATTATAACTTTTAGATGAGCCTTCTATTTATAGTCGTTGTGTTAAATTTCAACGATCTGGATCACTTGATCCTAGACCTTTGATGGGAGAGATCCAAACCGGATCCTCTTCCTTGATCGAGGGGGTAGGTTAAAGACACCGAATATATAGACGATCATATGTTGTCAAAGTCAAAAACCGATCGATGCCAATGATTAGATCATATTCTATTATTATGTAATATTGTAACATATTAGTTAGCCACCCAGAGTATTAATAATTAGTTAGTGATTTGAAGAGTCATGGCCAATCTTTATTTAAAATATACGTGTGCGTAACATTAGTTCAGAGGATGTTTTATACACACACACACACACACACGTATATATAATGATCAAAACCACATCTTTGTTTGTGATTGTCATCAAACTTCATTTGCGTCATGGGAAATTAAATAGTGTCTAATGCAAGTTGTACCATCGAATAACGCGTGGTTCCTTATGTTAATGCCCTAAGATCATATGCATGAAAGAGCTAGCTAGCACAAATATAACCTATATCTATATATTTAGTGTTTAATTTGATTCTAATAGTGCTGTGCAAGCAATCGATTTTTCCAATTAAGATGTGGGAGATTTTTAATGCTTTGAATTGGTCTCTGTTTTTTTCCCTGACCGAAGGTATCAATTCTGGTTGATTATACTTAATTATTCTATAAAGGGAAATGACTTACGCAAACTCATTTTCTCCTTTTACACAATTATGTTCTTTTAGCCTTCAATGCAAAAGTCTGAAATAAATAAGAGTGTCCAAGTGAAAAAAAAAAAAATAAGTGTATGAAAATCATTTCCCGTTTATAAATTTTGAGAGGGAAGGGATGCTGTCAAAATCCTCAACCTCCATTTAAGAAACATAAGCAAAGCTTCATTTGCTAGTATCTCTTAACGAAAACTGCTTAATTGACGTCCTCAACGCTAAGACTTATTGTAATTACAAGCTGACATATACCAAACTGACTTGTTAAAAATATGAAAAATTGTGATTGGTAAAGAGGAATTGCTACTTGCATATAAAGAGCCAAGTGTTTTCTTTCTTTAACAGTAATTTTCTGTTGCCTTCAACTGACTGTGCGAGAGAAGTTGTTCGCATCTATTTGGATGGTGAAGATGAAAACTACAAACATATAGATGGTGCAATTGAGATATTTTAGGGTAGTGATGCTATCCACTCATCCATTTTTACTTCTCACATACATTTCTCAAGTTTTGGTTGTCGGATCAAATGAATTGAAGAAGATTAATGACAAAAAATTAATAGAAGTGTGGGGAATAGCACTATCCTTGGGTATCAGCATATGAATAGCACTATCCTTGGGTATCATGAAGGCTGAAAGTAGGTTTGGAAATAATAAGAATACGGAAAGGCGGCATTTGCAGAGAAATTAGGGTTTCTCTCGAGCTTTATTCTTCTATTTCTTTTATGTATTACTTGTTTAACGTGTTAATTGTTTCTTTCCATCATTTATCAACTCGTTTTTCAATCCTTTTTTGTTTTTTATGAAGACGTTGTCAACTCGATTGTTTGGTGAAGCCTTAAAGGCCTTAATTAACGTTTAAGATAATATAATGTTCATAAAATAACTTTACGATCGTAAGTTCAAAGGCCTAAACATAACTATAAAACCAGGCATGTCTGGTTTCAATTCAATCCATCTCTAAAGACAATGGCTTTTCAAAAGCTCATCTCAATCTTGCTTTTTCAAGTTCTAATTGCCTTGTTGGCTTTAGACTCAAGCAAAGCGCAGAAATTGAAAGTCGGGTTCTACTAAAAAAACATGCCCCGATTTAGAGGCTATTGTGGCAGGGACTACTCATCAATACATGTATAGGCCACCAACTCTTGCTGCTCCTATTCTAAGGATGCATTTTCATGATTGTTTTGTTAGGGTAAGTTATATGTCCTTTGGTTGTGTTACTTGTCTCCTAAGCAATCCATTAAGTCCTGCTAATGACACAACAATTTCTGTTAAAACTGTCCTTTGAATTATTTTTTTGTTGGCACAACAATTGCTAGTTACCGAATTTTGCAAAGTAACTCATTCCTTTAAATTTTAATTTTCAGGGATGTGATGGTTCTGTGCTATTGAATTCCACATCAAACGGTCAAGCTGAGAAAGAAGCAATCCCCAACCAGAGCTTAAGAGGGTTCCATGTCATAGATGCAGTAAAATATATCTGCAGTAAAAGAGAAGTGTCCTGGTGTTGTTTCTTGTGCTGATATCTTGGCCTTGGTAGCTCGTGATGCAGTTAGAATGGTACAAATTAAACTCATTCCACATAAATCAATATTTATTAAATATATTATTAGATTAAGAATAGATGTTTCTTTAAATTAAAAAAGGGACATCGTGTGTAAGGGGATTGCACTTCAACTGGTTAGGGATATTTTCCTGCACTGTGATCTTCGATTCCCCATCCCTCACTATCGTTTGTACAAAAAAACAAACGTCAATTTCATATATCTGACTTAGAATGAATGAATATATTTTTTCCAGGTTCATGGCTTATTTTGGTAGGTTCCGACTGGACGAAGAGATGGAAGAGTGTCATTAGCCTCAGAGGCCAATAGAGGCTTACGTTCTCCTTTTGTTGACATAACTCAACTCAAAGCAGCATTTGCTGCCAAGGGTTTAAGTGCTAAAGACCTAGCGGCTCTGTCAGGTGAATATTATTAAGTTAACATATGCATACAAGTTTTATTTCTCTATTTGTTTTTGCTTCATGAAACCCTAATCAACGTGATCTGATCTCTCTTTTCGTCATTGTTCTTAGGAGGACACACAATCGGCACATCTCACTGCCCACCCTACACAAATCGCTTGTATAATTTCACCAGAAAAGGTGACACAGACCCAAAATTGGACAAAAATTACATAGCTCAGCTGAAGACAAAATGCAAGCCAGGGAACACAACTAGCCTGGTTGAGATGGATCCTGAAGCTTTAAAACCTTTGATGAAGATTACTACAATCTTGTAGCTAAAAGAAGAGGACTATTCCAGTCTGACTCGGCTCTTCTTGATGACAGTGAGACAAAAGCCTATGTGACAAAGCAAGCCACCACTCATGGATCCACCTTTCTAAACGATTTTGGTGTCTCAATGGTGAATATGGGTAATATTGGAGTCCTTACAGGCAACAACGGTGAAATAAGGAAGCATTGTGCTTTAGTCAACTGAAGGCAATCAACTATCTATGCATTGGGAAATGATTTTCATGTACTTTTATTTTTTTATTTTTTATTTATCTGTATTTTCTTTTGATTTTTGCAATACGAAGGCTAGAATAAGAAAAAATGTATAAGAACTAAGAAGAGACAAATATGGTTTGCGGAAATCACTTCTTGTATACATTTTGATTCAGTTGGTGATTTGAATTTGCAATTGTAAGTATGAATATTGTTTGCATAATTAGTAATGCATGCATGTGTTGCGTGTTCCAAAAGGGTTAGCCAAAATTGGTTACCACGTCGTGATGATTTTGGATTGCCATGGTGTGCGTGCCTTTCAACAGCATATTCTGCAAATGTTTTATTATTTTCCGACAATTAAATTATTTAGGTCATTTCATTTTTATAATATATTTGTGTTTCCAATCAATAAGGCTTGAACAGTATTTGATTGAGACATAATGGTGGTTTGTATGCAACAAAGTGTCGGACACAATTGATGACTAACTTTCATCGACGTGCTCTGGTTGTGTTGATTATTATATCATATGGCCCACCAATTAGACATCGGATAAATATCACAACTCTAACATTTACATATTGATAAAATTATAATAAAATTCACCAACATTTGAGAAGAACATGGATTGCACTTCAAAAATTGAAAAGAGAATGAAACTTGCTGTAATTTGGCTCTGCTATATAAATATGCAGTTCAGTCATGAATCGTGATGAAGGCAGTAGTAAACTCTCATCTCCGTTGCCATCTACAAGAGAAGATTTGCATATGTATTATCACCAGTAATGTATCACCATTTTGTATATATTCATTTATTTGTGTATTTCTATATAAAGCTACCTAGTGACACATGAGAATATCTCCACCTAGATTATAGAAAGAATTAGCAAGTTAGAGCAATTTTTCCTTCAAAGATACATAATAACCAACCTCTTGTATGCTTGAAAGTAATAATTGGAGCAAGTATTCTCCCTTAAAAAATACATAATATTGTTGTGGGCGTATTTTAGTGAGGGAATAAGGATAAGTTGTGGCACATGAGAAAGAGAGAAAAGAGAGTTGGAGAATCTTTATAGGAGTAGTTTCTCACCACTTTGTGCTTTTATTTATAGTAAATATAACGGGATTCTTTGCCCTAAAAGGAATACAAAGTCTAATAGGAAAGATCTAGAACATAATCTGAAATACAATCTGCTAAGATTTACACAATCACAATTCTAGTTAAAAAGAACTGCAACAAATAGATTAACTTATAACCAACCTTATATATGCTTAAAAGTTCCATTACATAGTAGATGACAGGCTAACAAAGATTTATTATCTGGCATCCTCACTTTTAGCACTACTTTTTTTTTTTAACTTTAATTTTCATTATGGAAACCCTAAAGCAGATTCTCTTAAATTGTTTTTCAATGAACGGTCAAAAGCCCTAGAGGTACATCTTTCCATGGTACGAATAAAGAGCTAGAGAAAAACTAGACTTTACTAATTTGCCTTGTTACTCCGATATATTAATTCTTAGTCCCGAAGCTTCATAGAGATATTGACAGGGATTAAAGAAGTGATTTCAGCAATTGCCTGCACCGGCAAACATATATAGCTGAGGAGGCCTTAGGTTCATCAGCTCGACTCGATCGATTGATTTGTTCTTTACCATATTGTCATTCATTGCATAATATATATATATATATATATATATATTTTTTACTTTCTTTAACAAGGGAAGCAACGCAGGTGGCAGCAGATAGACAATTATTGTTAATAAAATTGGATAGGTTAGAAGAATGATAAGAATTAAATTGCCAGTATAGGAGCAGGTGAATATACTGCTTAATTTATATGCAAACGTAAGATCAATATCCACCAAATCCACGTTACATGTTTATACATGTAAAGCCGCCACCATTGACTATTAAAATTGGTGCGTACCAATTTAATTAATCCAGTCTCACATTTATTTGAATATGACGGTAACATTGTTAAATGATGTTACTAATTTCATGTCATATATAACATGAAGTTGAGAAAATTAAAAATGTATGAACTTAGAGTATAAATCTCTAATAATAAATAGATACACGTGTAACAATATAAGTAGAATGGTGACTTCATGTGGTGGTGTGTGATAATTAGACCAAGAAATTGATGCTCATTCGTCAGGCACATGTACGTAATCACCAATTACCATGAAAAGGACATGAAAATTGGTGGCAATGAGACCATAAATATGTGTCATAACAAACGCTAGCTTCAAATATAATCCATCACCAAAGTACAAAACATTCCTGATATGGGATTTAATTCATTTGTCTTATGGGGAACAACCCTAACTGCTCGTCCTAGTTATAATATGAAAGAAATGATATAGCATCGCTTCCAAGCACATGTTAGTTGGATAGCTGGACTATTTTCGTCACCTTGCATTTTCTTATCTTGCAGTTGCAGAGGTCCACAAAGTTGAAGTTGGGGCCTTGGGGGAGGCCTATAAATTTCAAACCACAGTTTTGTAATTGCAAATACTTTCAAATCAAGTTTCTTTCCTCCAAATTAATACAAGTTGAAGCTCAGTTGCAACGAAAAATGGGGTCGACTCGATTTTCTGGGATTTTCATTTCATGTCTTCTGGTGATCATAGGCCTCAGTGAGGCTCAGTTGCAACTGGGTTTCTATGCCAAGAACTGCCCGAAAGCAGAGAAGATTGTGAAAGACTACGTCGAGGAGCACATCCACAACGCACCCTCACTTGCTGCTGCTCTCATAAGGTTGCACTTCCATGATTGCTTTGTCAGGGTATGTATCCATCTTCTTCTCTTTACAGACCAACATTCTCTGCAAGTCATTAGGGTTAGAATTGTAATTTGGAACTAATGAATGATTTTTGCTTATTAGGGTTGTGATGCATCTGTTCTTCTGAACTCGACTTCAAGTAACCAAGCTGAAAAAGATGCTCCCCCAAATCTAACCCTCAGAGGGTTTGACTTCATCGACAGAATAAAAAGCCGACTTGAAGCTCAATGCCCTGGAATAGTTTCATGCGCAGATGTTATTGCTTTGGCAGCAAGAGATTCTATTGTTGCAACAGTAAGATCTCCAACCAACCATCAAAGTTTAAAAACCAAAATAATCAAACGTCCCAATTATTTATTGGATTTCAACTTTGTTTTTTTTTTTTTTTTTTTTTTTTTTTTTTTTTTTTTTTTTTTTCTGGGCATGTTGTGTAGGGAGGTCCAACTTGGAAGGTTCCAACAGGTAGAAGAGATGGGGTGATCGCAAGGAGGGCAGAAGCCTTAGCCAACATTCCACCCCCAACTTCCAACTTCAGCAATCTCCAAAGAATTTTTGCCAATGTGGGTCTTGATTTGAAGGACTTGGTCTTGCTATCTGGTAAAGCTAATTGATCTTAAACATAATAGTAAATATGCAAATAAAGGAAACGAATCTTCTTGCCAAATAATTATCTTACCTGTTACATATGATGATTTAGATTAGAATCTCACAATGTATACGTGGTAATGTTCTCGTATCAGACTTATGTTGATTATGAATCAAAATTACAAATTATAAACGGTTAATTTAATCAAAATGTTAATTTACAATCTGACAACATATACTACAAAAACAACATACAATAACTATTAACATGCACAAATAAAATAGATAAAAACATATGTGATACATTTGGCAAGGAAATAATAAAATAGTGCCAGTAATGCTACCATATTAAAGCTAATATCTAATCACGCCACATGGGTTAATATGCTTTTTTTCTTCTCAGGTGCTCACACAATTGGGGTCTCTCATTGCTCATCATTTTCAAACCGCCTTTACAATTTCACCGGAGTGGGTGACCAGGACCCCGCTTTGAACACCCAATACGCAGCGAATCTCAAGGCCAACAAGTGCAAAACTCCAACTGATAACACCACAATTGTTGAGATGGACCCTGGAAGCGTCAGGACTTTTGACCTAAGCTACTACACACTTTTGCTCAAAAGGCGAGGGCTCTTCCAATCCGATGCTGCTTTGACAACCAGCTCAACAACTTATAATCATATCAACCAACTGCTCAAAGGTTCACTGCAGAACTTCTACGATAAGTTTGGAAAGTCTATGGAGAAAATGGGTCGGGCTAACGTTAAGACTGGATCGGCTGGCGAGATTAGGAAGCAATGTTCAGTTGTGAATAGCTAGAAAATGATAATCTTTGGTTAATTTTCGGTCTCTTTTTTTTTTTTTTTTTTGTTGTGGTAAAATTGATAATGATTGTAAACTGCATGTAATGATAATCTTTGGTTAATTTTCGGTCTCTTTTTCTTTTCTTTTTTTGGTGTGATAAAATTGATAATGATTGTAAACTGCATGTTATGCTTTTTGATATTATATTGTTTAGTATGAATAAAATTGAGGTCCATTTGGAGTGTTGCTTTCTCGTAGTCAACTTTGTCTTCGTGTAATATTAAATCATTAGAGGAGGGATATTCGGGAGAAAAAACTGCTCGGAAAATGTAAAGAAAATAGTTTAGAGATTTGCTTTAATTAATAGGGATTTGATATTATTTGATTTAGAGAGGTGTATTCAATCAAGAATTTGAGAGACTTTAATGGAATTATAAATTCATGATTTTTATGAAGTTTAATTGATTTATAGAGATTAAATATAATATTTTGATTCAATTCCTCCGAAATCTTATGGGAAGAGGTAAGATTTGTGGATGCTTAAAATACACTATGAAATATCTCTCATTCCCTCTAATTCCTCAACTTTTTAAATTTTTTAAAATCAATTTCTAATTGAATATATCTGAAATGTTATAAACTTCTTTAAAATTCTAATTAAATACACCCGGATTTATAAGAATTTTAATAAACTATCTTAAAATCCTGATTGAATACACGTTGAATTTTAAAGAATCACTTAAAATCCTGATTGAATACCCCTAAATTCATTAAAAGAATTAAAATTCCTCAAAATCTCAGTTGAATACATCCCCTTAGGGATTTGATTTGATTTGGTTTGGTTTAGGTTTCTCTATCTTGATCTCTCCGTGAGTGAGAGAGATTCTCTCGAAGAGTGAGAATTTTTTTCTCTCCATGAGTGAGAACAGCAACAAAGCTAGATCTTCTTTAGACGCCGGCATTAATTTCGATTAAGGTCTTTGCCAGCCCTTACTTCATCATCTCTGCTTCCTCTTTCTTTTTCTTTTTCTTTTTTGTTGATTTTCCTTGATTTCCTTCATTTTTTCCTTAGCCTTTCCACTCCAACTATCATTGGTCTTCCTGTCCTAGATCTATTCATCCACCCATCCATCTACATGTTCTTCATCTGGCTTCCACCGACCCCATCTCCGTTTCGATCTGCAATCTCTAATGACTGCGAACTGTTGCGGTCCTTAACTGGGAATGTGCGTAGAGTTTCGGTGTTCACACCGGCTCGGGTGGCCACACCACCTTCTTCTCTTTGTCTGGCTTTTCTGGCAGTGTTGTTTATGGTAATCCCACTGGCTTCTTTAGTTCGATGAAATATTATCTGCCGAAAGACGAAGTCCATTAACTTTCCATATATAAGGTGCTGGTTCTGGTAATAGTTGGTGGTGGAGTTCGTATCGTTTGGGGTGTCGTAGTGGCACTTTCGGCAGTAGCTTGGAAGGAAGCAGATAGGGTTTGCTTGCCTGTTTTCTTTATTTTGGGCTTTTGGTTACTCTAGAGGTCCATTCTTTTGATTGTGTGAATATTGTATTTGGGCCTCTATTTTGTAATTATGTTGTGCTTTGCTAATAAAGTAACCATTGACTAAAAAAAATATATATATATATATATATTTTTTGGTCTTATGGATAAAGGATTATTTTGATTTATCTCCTCGTATTGTTCCTTTGCAATCTTATAATTACCTCATTTGACCAACTCAAATGGTTGGAGTTAATACATAAATTTTTAGCCTAAAAATTTAGGTTATAACTCAGAAATAGCTTTTCTCCGCTAATAGTTTTGGCTTAAAATTTTAGCCCCAAAATTTATTTCTTCATATTGCTCCTTTATATATATATATATATATAATTTCTTGTAGTTTCTATTCTGTAATTTTTTTTCAAGGATCTAAATCATTTAAATTTTAATTCATCATTTATAGTTTATTCTTGAATAACGAATTTTGTACAAATGATTTATGAATAATGTTACTTGAAGCAAATACTTCTCATAATTATCGCCAATCAATTCTAAACCCAAAACAACCTGTCAACGGTCAATCAACCTTACAAATCTAAACCCTATACATACAACATCATGTCATCAACTACAGAATTCAAAATTACCGCCAATCAACTGAGAGAAGCAACCGCTTCTTATAATTAGAGTAGTTCCACTGGAGGTGGAATAAGCCCAGCACCCAATCAAAAAACTAGGCTGACACTTTGTCAATTCACTCCAGCCTGTGTGTTTGCCTAGCACCCAGCCCAAGTTGGTCTCCAGACCATCCCATTTTTGACAAACCTTGGGACCGAGCCATTTGTGTTGTTGTGCCTGGTGCGTGGCACGTGGGCGTGAGTAGCAGACAACAAAATCAAAGGTGGGGCCCAGCGGCGCAGGTGCACTAACATCTCCCCCGGGTGGGCGACGTGGCCCAATTTCTGCCGTTGGATTTCCAACGGCTATAGTTATTCTAGACTGTTGGATTTCCAACAGTAAAAAAAATTTGAATTTCACTTTTAAACTGGACCGTCTGATTACAGATCAACTGTCCACATTTTTTCCCCCAAAAAAATTTTAAGTCAGAAATTAAAAATAAAATATTTTATTTTATTATTTTATAATAAAAAATAAAATATTTTAATAAAATTGACCAGCGTATTTTTTGTTTTAGGGGTGGAGATGCTTTGGCCTATTACTATTCATTGAGGTCTATTACTGTTCACTTGAGTGGATAAATGCGCTGGGTGCTGGCGCAAAGTCTTTAGGGTGGAATTGCTCTTATCTCCACCACTCGGGGACCAACTAGAACACAATTTCAATGCCGGTCAAAGCAAAGCTTGAATCAAAACCAAAATATTGGTTCTGCACACTTTCAATTGAATGGGTGATGATTCAATTTCGGAATGGGTAGCGGATACAGAAGCTAAGTCAGACCCCTCAGCCGAACGTAGGCATTTGGACAACGCATGAGAGTCTTAGGAGCAAGGGCATAGGAGGAAGAAAACAAGAGTGGAGAACCATGCTACCATGAGACTCCTCAATCAAACAAACATAATTCACCCCTTTTTTTCTTTCATCATCCATGCTACCATGTGTATACAGGTAGAAAATGCATATCAATCATGATTTGGTTGCTAAAACATACAAATCAAGAATGTTGTCAAGAACCAACTAGCTATTTAATCTAATAATATTTCCTCTTCTCGATAAATTTTAAAGAAGCCTCAAGTTTAAATTCTCAATCCTCGCTAGTGAAAGAAAATTAATATTATACTCGCATTATTTTACCAAATAAAAAAAATGAAAACCAATGAAAATGATTTGAAAATTTTGAATTTTAACGAAAATGACAAAATAAAGAATAAAGTAAATAGTATTCGGATTAAATTTTTAGTGTAAAAATATGTTTTTCGTTAAAGTTCCAAAAAAATTAATATGAACACTGGACTTTTAGGTTTTATGTTAGCTTACAACGGGCTCCAACTATTTCATTTAGCCCATTTCTGTGTAGCCCTCAAAACCCAAAATGCCAAAACCCTGCCAACACTCTCGACTTCCCCACCCTAAACGCTGCCTATATATACAACCCAACTTCCTCAACCTTCTCATTCCCCTCTTCCCCTCCGCCTCCCCCCACCGTTACCTGCTGAAATTTTCTCAGATCCAAAATCTTGGGTTTCCAATCAAATTCAAATCCAAATTCATGCAGCTCTCTTTTGTTATGTATTGATTCAGAAGTGTGCGGTGATGAGGCTATTTTGTGGACTAGAGTTTATGATCTGGGTTCTTCTCCCAAAAGTTTGATTACAAACCCTTGGCTGTCTGAGCACACCTTCTTCATCTGCTCCATCATCTTCCAACCTTCTGGTTTAAATAATAAATGCTTTTCAAAGATTACCCATCTCATCTTTTTTGTTTTAGCAATAACCCATAAAAATTTTCATCGAAATTTGTTAAATGTATTGATATATTTTTCTGCAAAGTTAGTGTTTTGTGGTGCAATTGGGGCTTATGATGATATCATACAATTATCTTAGCGGATTTCAGTGAGGCTTTATGGTCAATGATCTGATTGTTACACACACTGAGGCTCAAATCTCATATTTTTGTTTATTTATTATTGTTTAGATTAATTTCCTTTTTCTTTCTAAATTATAAATTTTGAATTTGGGTTGTGGTTGCGATGATGAGATGAAACACTTGGACGTGTTTGGGGCAGTGGACGAGGCCTCTTCTGGGGTTCTTGCCGTGAGCTCATCTAACAAAACGACTTCTCCTTCCACTGAGCTTCCACTCCCCACAATATTTGTGAAATTATTTTAAATATTTTTATTAATTTGTGGATGAAATTGTAAGAAAGATTTGAAATTTGCGTCCATTACCAATTCGAGAGGATTATTTGGTTCCTCCTGATGTAATGGCTCGGACGCCAAATTGATTATTGTGGCTATTCTGATCAGTGGCTTCGCAATGCCATTGGATCCGGGAAACTCCTCATACATGAATACACTTCAAATCCTTACCAATTTCTAAAAGTGCTTTTGCTGATGGGTAAAGTGATTCTGCGTTCTAAAATAGTTAAACCTTGGACAATACGAAATAGTGAGATTGGGCTACTTGTACCAAGACGAGGATTGGAAACAAAACTCAGTATCCTTATCTTGATTTTGGCCAAAACGGCTGTAGCTAAATTGAAACAACTGAGAAGTTTACTGGCCGGTCGTCGTTTTCTGTCGACAGATCTGCTTACCGAGCTTCTAACATTTCCTCCAATTTTTCGTTCACAAAAATTAGACCCCCTTACCGGGACGATTGAAAATGTTGGACCAAAAGGTTAATAGCCTTGGTAGTCACCTGAACTTGTATTTACAGAAGAGTTAATTAGATTTAAACGCTGAAAATTTGATTATTTTTTTATTAAACATTCATACTTTTTAGAGTTTTAATCGAGACGCCTTAGAATTTTGATCAAGGCTCTTTGGAACAAAGGGGGTTGCCCGTTGTAGGCAGGCTGGCAACTGCAAAAACCCATACAGATCCTGGGAGGAAGGCAAACCCAGTTGAGAAACATTGAGGGAACAAATGAGAAAAAAATGTAGCAGTGGTTTCTCATTTTTAACCCAATTAGAGAAATAGTTTCAATTTTAATCAAGTTTGAATAATGATCTTTTAGCTTTAATCCAATTATAGCTATAGTCATTCTAACATAACTCATTTTAATAGAATTTTAACAAAGTTGACGAAAAGAACCATCGTTGCACAGTTAAGGGATCAAGTTCAAGGATCTTTGCTACAATTTTCTTGCAGGAAAATGGATTCAAATATTTGGGTGGGAGGAAAAAAATTCCAACTTGTAGCACGTTTTGGTAATAATCTTGATTTTCTTGATTATTGCTCAACAATAAAGAATCAATAAATTTTATTTGAACTCATATAACCTCCAGCTATACCTAACTTAAACTTTATATATGATTTTTTTTATTTTATCCTATTGCATAATTAACATTAAATAAGATAAAATTAACAGTAAAATTATAATTAATCAATAAATCCACCACTAATATTCAAACCATACCATCGCATCAAACCTTATCGTCACGCAATTTCAACATTCATCCTAGCTAAAATCTTAAGACACTCTCATATAGAAAACTAACTCATTTTGACCAATGGATTGTGATATTAAATCCTCCAACTAAGAGATGAATTAATTTATTCAACTTATTTTCATTTGATTTCAATTTTATTTAGAGTTTTCCCATCAATTACCAACATTTTAATGCAAATGCATAACTGCCTTGCAGTACAAGCCTGTCCAACATGCCAACAGCAATCTTCCTATGGATTAACAGTTTAAGTGCTAATATACCGTTTGAGATTGGCCAATTGCAACTTCTTCAAGAACTAGATCTTAGCGTCAACAACTTGTCTGGAGAAATTCTAAATCAAATATCAAACCTCACAAGTTTGGAAAGATTAGACCTCTCGAGATATCATCTGTCCCAAAAACCCATCATCACTGTTAAGCCTCAATTTCTCTTATTCATTGACGGTTGCATACAACAACCTTCAAGGAAAAATACATCCGCACTCAAATCGAAGACTCAGATGCCACTATGCAAGTGACCCCTTACCATAATAGTGAAAATGTGTTGAGCTTATAAGAGCATGAGTTCAAATCCTATGAGTGGCTAATCTAGTCTCTAATCTAACAGCATTTATTGTTTAACAAAAAAAATAGAATGGCACTGCCTTTTGGGGGAGCCAAGGACTATGTGGTCCCCAACTTCCAAAAAAGCCAACAAATGAATATAAGTAATGACAAATATGCAACAAAAGAAGAATTAAGCACGAGACAAATATGTGAGAGATGCTACTCTCTTTTACGTCTTGAATGAGTTGCAGAATACTAATTTTAGGTTATTATTTTTTAAATGAGTGTAAAAGTAAATTTATACACTGAGAGTAGTTTAGGTAGTAAATTTGAGATTAAAGAAACATTGATAGTTTAATTTAAAAAAGCGGTTATATGGGTCAAATAAAATTTCCCTAAAGAATCACATGTATATTGGCTGGCCTTCAACCTCTCATTCAAGTGGTCAGTATTCAGTTTCTGAGCTCTACTTCCTCTTGGATGCAAGATAGATGCCTGATACTATGGCCGCCCCAATCACCGCCACACCCATAGATTTAACGATTCTCCGGGTGGAAAAAACGGACCTTTCTGTTGGAATTACCATAAGATCCTTCACCTGCAATACATGGAAAAACACAGAGCATGGAGGTTTAGAGATAAATAATAAGTACTATCCAAACATAGCCAACAAGACTTTACATCAAATTTAATGAAAAATGACGAAATTATCAACGAGAAATCAGAAAGCCAAGGCGGACCAGGAAACAAATCTAAGGTGCATGATAAGGAAAGGAACTGAATTGCCTGCATAATCACTTTCGACGTGTAGGGATATGATAGAACTAGATAGAATTTAATAAAACGGAAGGATTCACCAACCACAACAGGCTGCTGCCAATGCTTCTTAATTCCTTGGAGGTGCCCCTTTCCCACTACTGCAACTACTGAACGATTCTCGCTCGCAATTCTCAGTAATGTTGATGACATGTACCTAAACACCAACAGTTAAAAATCAGATCTACAAACTTATAAGAACTTATGCAAACGTCGAGGTTGGAATTAGATCATTCAAAATACTTAAAGTTAACATAAGCCAATCACCATCACCACCATCACCATTTCCTACAATACATCTAATTAACTTGCTTTCTGGACACAATAACTTATCACTACTATAAACCATTGTGGTCAAATTGTTAGTACCAACACATCAGGAAAAAGAAATGACGATAAAAGGGCAGACAGGAACAAAATTTGAAGACATGGCATCATCTTTTGATCTTAGCATTAGTTCATAGAATAAATAACTCAGAAGACTTACTGATCTCGTTCATGTACGAGTGTTTCCATTAGAGTTGGGTACTCCTTGCTCATCTCTTGAATCACGAGAGTCAGCATGTCAACATCATCCATTTCCTTTAACTGAAGATACACAAGAACAAGTCATTAATTAACGAAACTAAACATTAGCAGCACAGAAGAAAGGTGGTTTCCTTTTAATAAATCAAGTAGACATTTACCATTTTATTAAGAGCATCAGGGCTTGGTAGAAAGACTGCTTGAAACAGCAAGGAATACAGCAGTTTTATCTTATGCCAAAGTGGCATCTTTGCCCACGTCCTTCGTATCGTAATCTGTTTCAGTCAGTGTAAAGTCATATCAAAGTAGTTCTTCACCAGGAAAATAATACAGAGTCTGAAATACAGGTAGATATGACTACGGAAAGCAACCTTGTACACAATGAGTTATTATAGCAGGGTCAATGTAAAACAGAATAAAGAAACATAAACGTGAGACAATTAACATGCAATCGATGATAGAATTTTGAAATTGCCTCCAAATTTGCATGGAATGGAAATGAACGAGAACTTCGGGCATAGACATTCCGAAAGTCTGGTTTACGGTTTCATCTAAAGAGAATCTTGACAACAAAAAAGACAAAGCTTAGCATTCGATTGGAAGAAATCTCATCCTAATCAGCCTTCAAAATAAAAATGCACTTCCATTACATATCAAAATTACTTGGGAGCTAATAAATGTTTCTTCATCTAAACGGTGAAATGTAGCAGGGGTGGCATAGGGCAGGCTGCAATTGATAGATATAATGTATTATACCTAAGGTATAATGTATTATACCTGCACTGGGCGATCACCAAGTATCACCCTACCGCCATACTTCATTGCTTCTTCATATGCTACACGAAACTCAGCACCAGGAAACACCTCAAGCCTACTTGAAACCTAGGAAAAAAATATACACGAAAATTACACCGCTTGAATATACTGAGCCAATATGGAAATTATGCTTAGTATAGTTGGACAAAGTTGAAAACTTTCGGAATCATGAAAGTAAAATAACTTCGCAAGGAAGGATATGAAAACATGCCTTGGCAAGGAACCAGCTGTAAACAATCCCAAAGGCATTATGCTTTTTCTTCCACATTTCGATCATTTCTCCCATTGTCGGTACCTGAGGAACTAAATGCATTGGTAATCATCCTCGGTTATTCGAAAATTAAGCGCAACCTGAACATAGATATTAGATTCAGACCTTCAAATTCTGAGGGGTGAGTGCAGTCACTCGACTCGAGCATAACTCCAAGAACACAACCTACATTCACCGCACGAAATGCGTACACTTGATTATAATTTAGCATAATTTCATGACATTGTTATTGAAATTAACTCAATATAAGCCTTATTAAGCAAGTTTAAAAATGGATTAAGCACCTCTGGTTTCAAATAGCTGATCACTGCTTCAACTTCTCTGCACGATTCCTACAATTCACACACAGAACCAAAGACCAAAGCTTTCAATTCAAATTTTTTCACCAACCAAACATAAACCAGAAAATTCGAATTTTCTCACCGACCAAACAGGAATTGAATTGTCTTACCACCGAAACATGAGCCGTTCCAACCAGGTGCACGTCGCAAACGCCGCCCTCAGCCGTGGACTCACAAGTGAGCACCACCACGCTCCTCGACAGCTCCTCAGGAAGAAACCTCCTCTGTTCGGAACTCTCAGCCTCGGCGGTCGTCGAAACATTGTCGTCGTACTCGTCCCTCGGCGCATCGACACCGACGATGCTATCGGACAAGTCCTCAATCGTAGGGTTCCCGACGTGGACAAAGTTTTCGGATGCCGCCGGGTTGGGCAAGGGTGATTCCGCATCCATCAGGGGCCGTATCGGGTCGCGCTGACGCGGACCGCCGGCGGTGGCAGAGGCCGCAAATCTGAGATTCCTTACGGTGGAGAATTGCGCGAGGGTGTTCGGAGAGCGGCGGAGAGAGAGGAAGACGCGGCGTGACTCGGGCGAGTAGAGCGAGGCGATCAGGCGAGTCGAGCGAATCATAACATCTCTGCCAAAGGACTGAACCGTACGTCACTGGAGAAATGGCTACATACGTTTTGTTGGGACACGTGTACGGTCAATGATGAAGTATATATGCGTAAAGGGCTTCACTTTCTTGGTCTGCAACTTAGCTCCTACGCTTCCGATATTCTTTCTGATCGGCACGATGGCGGAGAGGAAGCTGTTCAAGATGAAGCTGTGCGTTTTGTATCAGAGTGGGCCGTGCGCGCGGCAAAATTTTTTCATCTAATTAGGGATTCTTCCATCGTATGAGTGGTTGAGACTTGAGAATGTATTTATTCACTTAGTGCTTCTGCATTCGAATAAAAGAACCATCAACAATTCAAAAGTGCTTGTGATTATTTGTCTTCAAAGTTGGAATTTTCTGCTATTCTTCACAAAAGAGTATGGAAGATGCTTTCTTACACATGGACAAAGAAAGGAGATATTTGAATGCTATCATTTGTTCATCTGTCATGTTTTTTACCCTACCTTATAACAAGCGAATATAAGACGGGTGAAAAAATAAGATCGGTGAGTCAGAATGATAGCGCACGCGTATATTTATTCACTTAAGTTGAGAGAGAACAAACTTTTAAGAGTTGTTGAGGTTTAATTTGAGTAAAGGGTTTGGATTTGAGGTCTAAACTCAAATTTATTCTCTCTCAAGTCTCAACCACGAAAAAATTAGCTAGTAATTACATTGACCTTAATCAGTCAGGTTTTTATGATAAAATAGCCAAACCTCGGACAACAAGAAATAGTCGCATTGAGCTACTTGTACCAAGAGAAGGATTGGAAATACAACTGAGAAGTTTACCGGCCGGTCGTCGTTTTCTGTCGACACATCTGCTTACCGAGCTTCTCACATTTCCTCCGATTTTTTTTCACAAAAATTAGACCCCCCACACCACCACCACCGGCGGCGATGAAACTTGCGGTATTAGGGGCGGACAGTGGGGCGATTGGAAATATTGGACCAAATGTTTGAAAGTAGATGTAAAGCAAAACAACCCGTGTAAAACGAAAAATAACAAAGGCAGGTTGCCCCTTGGAGGCAGCCTGGGGACTGCGAAAACACCCATTTGTCAGCCATTAAAACTTCACTCCAAGAGCTCCGGCCCCTTTTCTTCTCTAAGATCATTCACACCCATCATTCGATTCATGAACCCAACACCGCTTACGCTCTCTACCAGCTGGGTTTTAGATATTTGTGCACAAATCTTGGCACATAGAATGGGGATCCCCAACATTTGTGGCGAACTGAGTTTGACTCAGTTTTGCCTTTTGTTCATAATTTCCCAAACCAATTGCACAAAACGCAAGGAAAATAAGGAATTAAAATAGGGATCGAGAAAAATGGGTGAAGGGTTTTTACCTGGAAAACGGAAAGAGATCGAAGAATTCCATGCCTCGCCACGATATCCAGATTTGACATGAGCCGCCCAGCGCTTAGCTACGGCTACTCAATAGGAGTTAGCAAAGCCTTAATCCCCACGACTCACAAACACCCACACGCGCCTCTCTCTCTCTCTCCCCTTTGCGCGCTTTCTCTCCAATAAAGGGTATTCTAGTATTTTCATGTCAAGTTTTGGTTAGAATTATATTTGACATGAGCTGCCAAGCGCTCGGCAACGGCAGCTACTCAATAGGAGTTAGCGAAGCCCTACTGCCCCACGACTTACAAACACCCGATAGGAGTTAGCGAAGCCCTACTACCCCACGACTTACAAACACCCACACGCGCCTCTCTCTCTCTCCAATAAAGGGCATTCTAGTATTTTCAGCAATTATGTGGCCTCACAATGGGCTACCAATTATGTGGTTGAAATTCGCCTTTGACGAGAATTGAACTTAGGACCTCTCACTTACAAATAAAGAGGAATACAACTAGACTGTAGTACTAAGTGACAATGATATTGTTAATTAGTTAAGATATGAGAATTAGTCATATGCCCACTTCAAGCACGACTCAAGTTGATTTCAATCCACTAAGATCATAACTCTAGTCGACAATAAGAGGAGAGAATTTGACTCGAGCAAATCCCTTGACTGTAGGGATTAGTGGAGTCAGTTAGTTTTAATGTGAGATTAAGGGACTAAATCCTTGCATTCAATCTATGAAAGGCACCCGAGTGGCAATAAGTTAGAAGATCACTAAACTAAGAGTTGGAGGAGCTTTCAGTTTTGCTATGCTGCCGGAAACCTTTGTTGGACGATCATGGCTTTTTACATGTGGTCATGCTGAATGGTGATCAGAAATCTTAACAAGCTTTACTTGCTCTTGGATGCAAAATAGATACCTGATACAATGGCTGCCGCAGTCACCACCACACCCATAGATTTAAGGATTCTCCTGGTGGAAGAACCCGGCTTTTTTGATGGAATTACCATGAGATCCTCCAGCTGCAGTACATGGAAAAACACAGAGCATGGAAGTTTAGAGATAAAGTACTATCCAAACATAGCCAACAATATTTCAGGTCCAATTTGATTAAAAAAATGACAAGAAATTATAAATGAGAAATTGGATAACCAAGGCGGACCAGAAAACACATCCGCCTGCATAATCACTTCCGACATGTAGGGATATGATACAACTAAATAGAATGTATAAAACAGAAGGAATCACCAACCACAACAGGCTGCTGCCAATGCTTTTTAATCCCTTGGAGGTGCCCCTTTCCCACTACTGCAACTACTGAACGATGCTTGCTGGCAATTTTCAGTAATTTTGATGACATGTACCTAAACAGTCAACGGTTAAAAATCAGATCTACAAAATTATATGAATTTATACAAACCTTTGTTCATTTACTCTCTCCAACCTTCACAAGCATACGTGGAGGTTGCAATTAGATCATTCAAAACACTTAATATACGCAGATCATTATCACCACCATCACTATTTCTTACTATACATCTAACTAACTTGCAATCTGGAGACAAGAGCTTATTACTATTATAAACCTTTGTGGTCAAATTGATAGTACCAACACATCAGGAAAAAAAAAGGGAGTTTTAACGAAAAGCCCATGGTACTGTTCACTTTAATGAAAAACCACATTTTTACACTAAAAAGTCAAACCTGATACTATTCACTTTATCCTTTATTTTGTCCTTATCGTTAAAACTCAAAGTTTTCAAGCCCTTTTCATTAGTTTTCCTAAAAAAAATTGATGATAAAAGGTCGGAAAGGAACAAAATTTGATAACATGGCATCATCTTTTGATCTTAGCTTTAGTTCATAGAATAAATACTCAGAAGACTTACTGATCTCGCTCATGTACGAATGTTTCAACTAGAGTTGGGTATTTCTTGCCCATCTCTTGAACGAAAATCATTACGTCATCATCATCCATTTTCTCTAACTGAAGATACGCAAGAACAAATCATTAATTAATGAAACTATACATTAGAAGAAAAGTGGTTTCCTTTCAACAAATCAAGTGCATGTTTACCGGAATACTAAGAGCATCATCACTTGAGAAAAGCAAGGAATACAGCAGTTTTATCTTATGCCAAAGTGGCATCATTGCCCGCGTCCTTCCTACCGTAATCTGTTTCAGTCAGTGTAAATTCATATCAAAGTAGTTCTTCACAAGGAACATAATACAAAGTCTGGCATACAGGAAGATATGGTACAAAAAGCCAGCTTGTAAATGATGAGCTATTTAGCAGGGTCGGTGTATAAAAGAATAAGGAAACATGAAAGTGGGACAATTAACATGTGCAATAAATAATAGAATTTTGAAATTGCCCCCAAATTTGCAAGGAATGAACATGATAGAGAAAGAGAACTTCAGGCGTAAACATTCCAAAAGTCTGGTTTACGGTTTCATCTAGAGAGCATCTTGACATAAAAAATGATAAAGCTATAGCACTCGATTGGAAGAAATCTCATCATAATCACCCTTCAAAATAAAAATGCACTTTCAACACACATCAAAATTACTTGTATAGCTAATAAATGTTTCTTCATATAAAGGCGGAATCTAGCAGGGGTGGCATAGGGCAGGCTGCAATTCATAGAGGGCACCAGAACTATAAGGTGTAATGTATTATACCTGCACTGGGCGATCACCAAGTATCACCTTACCGCCATACTTCCTTGCTTCTTCATATGCTACCCCAAACTCAGAACCGGGAAACACCTCAAGCTCACTTAAACCCTAGCAGAAAATTTACACGAAAATTACACCGCTTGAATATATTAGAACATTATGGAAATTATGATTAGCATAGTTGGATCAAAGATGAAAACTTTCCGAACTCACGATAGTAAAATAACTTTGGAGGATATGAAAACATGCCTTGGAAAGGATCCAGCCATAAATTTCAAGGGCATTATGATTTTTCTTCCACATTTCGATCATTTCTTCCATTGTCAGTTCCTGAGGAACTAAATGCGTTGGTAATCATGTTCGGTTATTCGAAAATTAAGGGCAACGTGAACATAGATTCGGACCTTCAAATCCTTCAAATTTGGAGGGGTGAGTGCAGCCACTCGACGCGAGCATAACTCCAAGAACACAACCTACATTCAGCGCACGAAATGCATACACTTTATCATAATTTAACATAATTTCATGACATTGTTATTGGAATTAACTCAATACAAGCCTTATTAAGCAAGTTTAAAAATGGATTAAGCACCTCCTGGTTTCAAATGTCTGATCACTGCTCCAACTTCTCTGCACGACTTCTACAATTCACACACAAAACCAAAGACCAAAGCTTTCAATTTCAAATTTTCTCACCAACCAAACATAAACCAGAAAATTCGAATTTTCTTACTAACCAAACAGGCATTGAGTTGTCTTACCGCCGAAATGTGACACGTTCCCACCAGGTACACGTCGCAAACACCGCCCTTAGCAGTGGACTTACAAGTAAGAGCTACCACGCTCCGTAACAGGTCGCTCTGACACGGACTGCCGGCGATGGCAGAGAACGCACATGTGAATTTCCTTGCGGCGGGGAAGTGCGCGAGCGTGTTCGGAGAACGGCGGAGAGAGGAAGACGCGGCGCGTGATGGAACCCATTTGGTAGGTAGAAAGGAGAGAAAAAGGAAAAATATAAATAAATTAAGAAATAAATGACAAACTATATGTACCGGAAAATGCTTCTACAAGCTCAAATATCAATGCATTATTAAAAAATAAAAAGAAACATAATGAAAAAGTTTGAAAATTTTGAGTTTTAACGATAAGGACAAAATAAAGAATAAAGTGAATAGTATCAGGTGTGACTTTTTAGTGTAAAAATGTGGTTTTTCGTTAAAGTAAACAGTAACGTGGCTTTTTTAAAACTCCCTAAAATAAATGATAAACTGAAAAAAGTTGGCGACCCATCGTAACAGTGTGATGAGGTAGTATTGTACTATTGTATCTACTGTTTCGTTTGACAACTCGACCTGTATTGACTATTTCAATCTCATATGATAATTTGTGCATCGAATAGTACTAATTATTTTTGTATTTCGCTTTGTTTTTGTTTATCATAATAAGCAGGGTAACAAGAACAGTTGAATTCAGTAATATCTTTGGTGTATAAACGATTGATTCGAACAATGCTGAAACAGAAATGGTAAACTGGGGAAGCACCAAGACATGCGGTTTCATCGGTAAACCAGCCACTTAACCACAGAATTATTGGTGTTTTATACTATTACAAAAGGATGAAAAGTACAAAACAATCTTCGTTTGGAATCCTCATGGACCTATCTAGCAATGGTTATGGCTCTTCTTATGAGCATATGGGACACCTGCACTTAAAACCATAATCTGCAAGTAATGCCTGTCTCTCTTCGTAAGGAAGGTCTTCATCTACATAAGAAATCGTAACCTGGAAAAATTCGAAGTGATCATCAAAATTTGAACAAAGTTCGATGAAACCATATCGAGACCTTATAATAGCATACTAGACCGGAGTTGCATGAATGCAGACGTGCAAATGGGCGTTCACTTTAAATAGTGGTTTTGCATGAAGATCTCAGTTACCATATGGAACTGGGAAGTTTACGTACCTCCTCTCTTTTGAATGCTTTCGCGTTAGGACTACACGAATGATTTCATACAACTCTGCAAAGGATAGAACGCTGTGCCTAAAACAAAATTGAAAAGACATGGGAAGTTCAAAATTAATATATAACCGCTGCGCGAAGATGTATGCTCTAGAAACACCAATGATCTCGCACTCCTAGTAAGAGTAATTCCACCTGTGACAAGTTCATGCTTACTGAACACCCTTAACCCCAAAGAGGTAGTCCAGCATCGAGAATAAATGTGTGCACGCAGAAACAAGCATTGAGGTAGTCCAGCACCAAGAAGAATAAAGTACAAAAGAACAGACTGAAAGACTAACACAAAGTAAATTGGCGAACATTCAACGTATAATGGTGAAGAAACTGCAAAAGAGCATCAAACCCTGGCAACAAACCGAATAGTCATCACCAAGAGCATCGAAAAATGGTCGTGTAATGTCCTCAGCTTCTTTCTGTCATGAATAGGAGGGAACGGCATCAGAGCATTCAACTGTCGGAATATGTTAGGTGAAAAATATGACTTCTAACCTTTTCATGATTTGGATGATCATCAATGTACAAAAAATAATCTTCCACTGGAGATGCTACAACCAGATCACTGAAAACAAAGTGAAATGAAAGTAAGAGCCTGAGGACTCAAGCAAATTATATGAGCAATTTGACAAAGCGCGTGAATTGCTTCAACCACCATTGCCGGCACCATTTTGGATGCACGCACGGTTTACATATTCAACGGATGACAAGGAAAAGGAGAGAAATCTGTGACGAAGTGTGACTTAGAGATTATTCAACTCAAACATGCCAATTATATGGCCATAGATATCAAGGGAGAATACTGGGAAGAGTCAAGGAGTTCAAATTTACAAACTGTCAGAAATAGTAAGCATGATTCTAAAACAACCTATCGAGTGGAGAAAGTAGTACCGTGAATGCCAACTCTCTTATCCGCATCCTAAATGCAGCTTCATCAGAAGATTCAACGTCAAATGGCAAACCAATGCAGTCCCACCAACACCTAAGGGCAAATAAAACGTTTATTATGCAACTGATGCCACCTAAAGTGGAAGACTCATTGAAGTGATGTCGTACGAAGTATACACAGTAGAAACTAGAAACACTCGGGTTTCGTACTGCTAATGGCGGCCAAAGCGTCAGAGTGGAGTTGCGCCTCCTTTACCATTTTGTAAGTTTTTTTTTTATTTTTTTTGGAAAAACGATATTATCTACAGGGGGTAGGCTAAGCCTCACCATAAACTAACAATAATGTAGTTCATATTCGACTTTGAAGAAAATTGAACCTTAAACTTTTCACTTACATAAGTTCGTAGTATTAAGTGGCTTTGATTTTGTAAGTTAAACCCAATTTTTATTGACCAAAAACAAAAATTGAAACCCAATTTTGTCTTTTAAATTTGGTCAATGGAGTCATAATTTATCACATGTTTAAGGTTGTCATTTGCAATAACCTTTCAGTATAATCTCACATCCATCTTTATTTCTGTTCATCGAATTGAATAAATCGAAATGAAAAAAAAAAAAATAAAACGAACAAGATCAAACATAGGTGATTTGAATAAAAAAAATCACGTGGAGGAGGATTCAAGAAATTTTGTTTGGAAGGCGATTCAAAGCTCGTTATTAATGCAATCAAAGGGTTTTGTAGGAGACGATCGGATAGTAAATTACAAACATTAGCACACCATTTCATCAAAATTTCAAGTTGGAGTTTGGATTTAATCCAATCTATTACACAAATTTCACACAATGAGATACAGAGCAAGTCTATTATCTGACTAGTAAGTACCAACGACGGAATACAAAAATACACCGAGGCGAAGACGAACATTTAGCATTAATAAACTGGAGCCGGAACTTTAAAGTACGATCGACACAAAACCCAAATGTGGGGAAAAGAAAACCCTAATAGAAACCTAAAGATTGTATCTGTATCTTTCGTTGTCGATGCGTCAAACACATCCAAAGAACTGTTCCAAGGATGCGGCGTTGAACACATTAGAAGCAGGTCGTTCTGTTCTGGTAGGAGAGATGTGAAGCTGATACTTGATAAACCTCTGTAACCATTAAATAAACGAATAATTCAGATGACAGCGATGGAAATGAGTGCATACATAAAAACATAGGAACAAGATCGACGAATGTTGTGTAGAAAAGAAAAACAAGGTAAGTAATGAGAATTTACAGATAATTGAAATATGATGTCAGGATTTGTGTCGATATGCCAATCTGGTTCCAATTGCCGAACAAAAGATGTTCGTCCATTCTCTGTGCTACAGAAGAGAACCTGCAATCAAATCACAAGAATTATGTGTAATGCAAGATAATTGAAATATGATGTCAGAATTTGCACATTAGAGCAACTATTGGGCCTTCCTTCCGGGTTTGACCCCTAATCTTCTCCAAACCACAATCTCTGTACGTTATTACTCTTAACCTCTTTCGACCCACAGGGAATTATTGATATCTAAATACCAAGATCAGGTTTTATACCGCAAGCTCTATTTCTTTGTTCATGATTGACATAAATCAACAAGAAGCAAGTAGAAATAGTGAAATACCAAAACAATAGGTGGGATTCTTAAAAGTTAACTAATAATGCTATCAACCCGTATACCTACCTTGTCTTTGACCAAACCTCCAGATGTAAAAATCCCAGCATCTTCCAAAGCCAGTAGAACCTTTTTCTGAAAGCAATAGGCAATATCGTCTCATAAATGGTAATGAAAATGAGTATAAAGCTATAGGCAAGGATAGACTACAGAAGTTAAATACCATGAGCAAAGAAATTGAGTACAACAACATGCAAGGAAACCTATTAATCTCATACAAAATTACAGAGAACAAGTAAAATGATTGAGACAGGGGCTTGCACACACTTCACTTTCATCATCAAGAACTCTTTCCATGAGATACAAATCACAAAATTTTGTGATCTCCAAGAGTACTTCCAGCACTGAGTGCCTCACAGTCACTTGTTTCTGCCAGGAACAACGTTAAAAGGCAATGTTAATCCTTTTTCAGTTACAATTTCTATCACCAAATTTACAGAAAGATGTTGCTGGAAAGAAAAGTAGACCACCTGAAGTTCCTCTGGGGTACTTTGCTCAAGGACTACTCCGAGTAAACGACAAGTTACCTACAGATAAGCTTAAAAGGGTGAATTTATTGATTCAAATTGTCACCCCTATAAAAATCAAACAAATTCTCTGGACATTAAATTATTTCACAGGGTATCATATACCAATTATTAGCCATTATTGAACATTTGAAGCTTAGCAGTTTTAATCGTGAAGTACAGAAACATCTAAAAGTAAAACCCAGAGGTTCCGTAACTTCACCATGAAATTTTCACAACATGCAGTGAGAAGCTGAAAAACACTATACTGAGATGAAGAAACAAGTTCTCAACTACACTTACCTTTCTTCCTTCACTCAGTTTCTGCCTGACTATTTGCCCCAAAGTAGGCTGGACATAAAAGAAAAGACTTCAGCATAAAACATGTTAATACAAAGTGGTATCAAACCCATACGGAAGACTCAGAACGTGACAGTTACCTTTACAGGCTGAAAAAATTCATCAACAACGTTTTGGGCTCTTGAGTCCTGTGAAGGTGAAACTCCTGTAGCTGTCAATGTTGCATTCGAATTTGAACTGATGCCAGAACTACTCGATGCAGGTGCCTGCCGCTTTGGTTGCCTTCTTTGTGGTCCACTAGGTGATCTAAGCAGCCTCCATGTGAAAACTATTGCAACAGCAAATCCCGCGATGGCCCCAATAGAATGCGAATTCTGACAACATTTAAAATTTCTTAAGAGATCTCAACCTTACCATCTCCATTCGATCACAACTTTGATACTTATATGCCAAAGATGAAGCAACAGACTGGGATAATCCCAAAAGTGATCCACTGCTGCTAATCTCATGAGTATCTATCTCTTCACCTTAGTCAATTCTACTCATAGCATTGTCTATCAGTTCGGGGCCAGCGATTGTTCAAAAAGTACACTAATACCGGAACTACAGGGTTCTTGAGAACTAGCTAACAAGACATGGCCCAGATGCGGCCGGATGCATCAGAATTCACAAATTGCATACAATTTAATGGAAATTAAGCTTCACTAAGCCACATTGAAGATTGAGCTGAAAAATCGAATGGCCCAACTATCAACAACATTAATATCTTTGCAAGTACATGTCTTGTTTCCTATGCTACAAAATATCAAAATGGTCATCCTCAAATTCCTCTAATTTCCAGTTATGGACCAATTACACATCAAATTTTCTCAAGAAAACCTACATCCCAAATCAATTCACATCGAAACAAGTACTGAATTTGACACGAATCAAATTAAAAAAAAATCAAAATTGAAAAATTGAAAAATAAATTGCAAAACCCATGAAGCAATTGAAGATAATTGGCAGAAATGAACAATCTTTGGCGGGTCAGATCCGTGAGAAAATTCGAAAAGATAACGAAAACAGGCACAAAATTGAGGTACGAACCAGATTGTGGAGGGAGATCGGGAAGAGACTGGACATTTTGACAGTGAGATAAGCCCCGAAGCGCTTGATGAGCTGAAGCAGCTCGTCCTTCGAAGACTCGGCCATGGCTTTAACCAACGAGAAATCGTCGTTTTGAGAAGCTTAGGGCGTCGTTTTGAGAAGCAAGTAATGGTAAAGAATCAGCTTGAAGCCCTCAGGCCCTCGTCCTTCTCATCATCGCCTGTAAATCTCTTGAATTTCCAGAGAGCTAAAGCTTGTGCCTTTTTGTCAACGACGAATGAGAGAAAAAGAGGCGTTGATGCGAAACTGCAGATTATTTTATTTGTAAACTATGTGTCAGTGGTAAAAGATAAGTCTAATATTATTCGTATCATATTTTCATAAAGATGTACGATATGAAAATATAATATAAAAATATAGTATGACTAACCGTACTCAAAAGATGAAGGGAAACTTTAACGAAAAACTCCAAGTAGTATTTACTTTAACAAAAAACTGTATTTGTACACTAAAATGTCAATCCCTATACTATTCGTTTTACCTTTTCTTTTGTTCCTATAGTTAAAACTCAAAATTTCTAAATCATTTTCATTAATTTTCCTAAGATAAAGTTCGTTAATTAATACTTAGTTGGTAATTTAATTATTAACGATCACATTATATAGTTTATAAAATATAATTTAAAGAGACAACAATAAAGGTTTACGTTACAGTAGTGCTATGTGTCAATGAAATATAGACATTTGCAAGTTTTTGTCCATATGCCTAGTTTTATTAACAGAAAATATCACGTAGTAGTGTATCCGTGTCATGTAAATTGTTATCCTTTTAAAATTAATGTCACAACAACCATAAAAAGGTGATTCTTGTAAGACATTGGCCACACAACGAATAAGTGTTGCCTTGTACTCAAAGAGAACTGAATCTAGAGCTTCATAGATTTAGCTACATTTTCCAAATTTGGAAGTTTGATCGTTGCTCATAAATCCATCAATGGATGTAAAAATCCTTGGACCTCAAATTTGCAAAATATGAGCCTCAAAGGCTAGCTAGAAAAATTTCAAAAGCAATAGGATTATCACAATTGAGCATAACTTTTGATTTCATTTCTAAGCCATTCATGTAAGATATTACTTTACAACTTGGAAACACAACTAGTAGTATTCTAAGTCAATCACGTATTGCAGTTCGGAAAGAGATATTGTCTATCGTTGCTCGTTGATCTCTACGGTAAAATCAGTTGGGAAGCTGAAAAACGGTATATTACCTTGTAGCGGATGTTAGCAATTTAAGTCTGCTTATTTCCAACTCACGAATTTTCTCGTTAGTTTTGAATATTATCGCAGCGTCATCTACGTTGCTTGAAAGTTCTTCTTAGTCCGAACTTTCCAACCTGTCCCTCAACCAAAGTTAATTCCTTTCGTATAATATTCAACTTTGGAAAAAGGCAGTCGCAAAGCTGAGCTGAAGCTTCCTCTTTTCCATGAACGATGAGTAATTATAACCGAAAAATGGTAAAGAAATGAAAATGGTTAACCATGAGCTATGGAAAACAAATAAAATCATCAGGGTCGGTCCACAGTTCGAGGAAGTGAGGAACTCTGTGTAACTTCTGATATCTGAGGTGGTGAGCAACTACTTTCTGTATTTTCTGATATTTCAGGCACATCCTCCGCACCATTGAGGACCAACAATGGCCTTTCAATCCTTTGACATGCCCCGTTCTGCATATTTTCTTTCTCCAAGTGGAAGCAATAGCTCTCGAAAACCCTAGAGCTCACCATGACTCCGAAATCGAGCAGGAAAAGCAACTCCACTTCTAGTTTGTTCAGTTCGGCGTTGCTCACTCCCCCAACCCGGGCGTAAAATGCATTGTTATAGTGCCATGCACATGCATAATACTGTAAATAGAGGCTTGTAGCTCAACCGGGGAGGAGAGAATCGAACATAACGCTCATAAAACAATTGAGCTACAAGCCTCTCGCTCGCACATCTTCTTTCTTGATATTTTAGGAAAAATATTCTACTACGTCAATTCAATGAAAACAAATGGAGAGGTAGATACAGATACTTACACATCATCTAGCATCTTAGAAGCAACCATAACGCTTGTGACCAGCAACCTATGCACATTCAAAGACAAGACAAGAGAGTCCGGGTGCTTATGGAGCAACCGATCTATATACACATATCCAACAACAAAACATGATGGGCTGCAATCTGTGTACTTGTACAGCCTCTCCAAGTACTTCGGTATGCTTACGCTCGGTGGCCTCACGCCGTGTAACACATCCAAGTTCTTTCCAATCACCGCCGAGCCGCAACTTATCCCACTAAGTTGCTGGTTCAGGTCATCTACAAGCGTGTTGTTTCGAGCCACCAATTTCTCTAGCACGAAAGAGAGTATGGTTAACACTCTGGGGATGCTCGTCTCCGGCCAGCTGTGGCGGTCGGTGAACTCGCCTGCGGCTAACATTTGGACATCAGCTCATGATGGTTGGTGGTCTCAGGTGGGAAGTGTGTAGGGGTGGTTAAGACATGAAGAGGGTTGGCCTTGCATGTGTGCATATTATCTGGGTTCGGGATTTATTTGAAGATGAATTTTGATTGGTCAGTACCAAATGAATGAAATATGCGGTGGAAATTCTTCGACAGCAGCATTTTCGCTGTTTGGCTCGAAATTCAGATGTTCTAATATCAAAGAGAACGAAGAGACGAGAGCATAATCATATTGGTTATAACAAAAACGCCCGTCTTATACGCTTAAATTATAGTTAGTTTAAAGTAAAATATTGCTTATATTCGAAAATGAACCATTATACGAACGTCGTTTCACAAAATAATGAGTTGCCGTATATATTATCTCCTTAATGTTGCAATGTTGAACAGCCTATTCAATTTCTAAACAAGAAACATTTTTCATTTGTTCAAGTAAGTTGCAATTGAAGAACAAATGGCAATCCCTTTAGTGGGAAAAAATTATACAAAAATAGGAACGGTGAAGATCCAGGGAAGGCGATATTTGCTTGACGGTCTACACGCTGTGGCCATTAGAGACGAGTAATCTGTCTTCCTCATTTGGGTTGTCTATCATGGAAAGCTGAATGTTTGACTTCGAGCTCGTCTTGTTCACCTCGTTTTCTACACGGAAGAAAACCCATTGGAAGCGGCGGAAAATCTCCAAGGCAGTGATTGCAAACACGGTAAGGTAATTGTGGCGAAGATGGGAAGAGAGCTTGTATGTCCAGGTACAACGCAGAATCAGGTTGCTACCTATCACCCAGAAGTAAACCTGCAACCCAATTCATATAGAATAAATTTCTAGGCAAATTCAGTGATGACGACTACTCTAGATACGTTATTTCTGAGGACAAGTGAAGCCATTTGGTTGGCAATTGGCATAGGTGAGTCAAAGCCAGTTTAAGTCAAATAAATAGTTCGTACAGAAGGAAAAAAATGATATATACTTACCCATTTCCGTCCATGTATGAGGTTTGACGAGAAATGTTGTTTGCTGAACTTGAAAATCCGAGTGAAACCACTGAGAAAAGGGAATAAGATATTTAGAGGGCATGACAAAATAATATTAAGAATGCAACAAGTTCTAAGCATGAATAACCCGTGTTCTAATATGTCCTGGAACACCTTTTCACTGATTTACAAAGAAGCAAACAATTGCACAGCATGGAAAATTAAGTTCCACATCGTAGGATCACAAGTTCTTTATAAATCTGGTTGCATGAAGAAGTGATTCTGTGGTAATTGTATGAAAAAAAAACATTCAAATACCTTAAGTCCCAATCTCTAGTCACGTCCCAGTAGAACGAGTACAAGGAGTTCAAAACACCTGAGAGAAGCCACAGGGGCCGATAAAAGGTCGTCCACTTTTCAGGGAAGACATGATATTTGAGGGCTGAAAGAAAAATCACAGGTACTGCAGTAGAATACTTCAAAGCTGAAACCAGACGCAGATAAAATTAGTAGTGTAATGAAACAACAAATCCGTCAATACATCAGAACAAACCTGCAGGTAATCAGTAACATAGTAATACTACTAGAGATTATAAAGAGAAGCAACACAGATATTACAGAGACCATTAAAGATACTTGCCAAGTTAACATCACTTAAAGGAACCGGAACAGAATAAGAATTGCAAGATCGCAAACTAAATTCACATGCACCATAAAGTCTAGATATGGGATGTTTTTACATTATTTGATGGTTATCAAAATTTTATAAAAGCCATGCAAAACAAAAATTCTACTAGTGTGTAAAAAACATCCATGAGTGTCAATAAGGCTCTAAGGAAAAGAAATGTGGCCAAACAAACTGAAGAAAAAATCCAAGGCCAAAGAGAACCATTGAAAAAGAAACATTTAAGAAAAAAGGCCAAATGAGCATACCATTTAGAAGGGTTGTTTTCTCCCCAGTATCCTTATATTGTCGAAGACATTGGAACAAACGAAAAAGGTAAGGCAAAACAAGAACAACAGGGATTGCAACAGAATGACTTCCACAAACTGAGTCAGCTTCAAACCATGCAATAGTGGCAACCTGCTTTCAAATAAAACCTCTTAATAAATATATAAGCGAAGTAGTATTTCTTTAACAAACAAAAGTGAAACATAAACCGAAGGGATCATAGCAGAGTGACTGCCACAAGATCTCTTGAACAATACAATACAACAATTTTAAAAGAATATATATAATCATCCGGGAAGAAAAAAAAAAAAAACAAAAGACGGATTAAAAGACATAACAAATTATGTGTATTAGCACATGCATCTCCTCATCACTTTTATAAAAGAATAAGAATCAATTTGTTGGTGATTAGCAAAAAGAGAAAAATGCATGGAAGCAGAATCACAATTAAAAGGGGAAACCCTAACCTGTCGATGGACCATTCGACATACTGATCGCTCCAAATCTGAAAGCACCTGCATTGAAATGACAAACACAATCGGAATCAAAAGGCATGGTGACAAGCAGATATCTTATCATAGATGGCAAACTATTTCTTGATTCTACACTCCTATTAGGTTAACCATAGTAAACTTGCACACACACTATAAAACAATCAACAAGTTCAATATCCTTTTTTATCACAAAAATGGCACTCTAGTAATGCGATATCACTTGGATAATGGTAAAA